ACCAGCCTAAAGCTGCCTGGACCGAAACACAGCCTCCGTCTAAACAGTCAACACACGTGTTTACAGCAAACTACTTCCCACAGAGCCAGCCGTCTTGGACCAAATGGAAAACTTCTTACGAACATAATGTAATCATAGCCTAATATGAAGCTTATTTTTCTTAACAAACTGTGGGACCTGAACTCTTCACCTAAATAAGAGCGGGAGTCCTTCACGCAGACAAAGCGTTTCTAAAACATTCCTCCCCTCCCTTTCCCCGTCACTCCATGTCTCCTATTCAGTCTGGACAGGAGGAAGTTTGGGAACCTCTGTTGGCCAGCTGTCAAGGGGAAGGAGGGGGGCCTCTGTCACTATAAACCAACTTTTCCTTCCAGGTTCACCCAGGCCCAAGTCATCCAGCCTGAGCTGCCTGCATTCAGCCGCCCATTCCCGCTTCCAAAATTACACTTGTACAATTACAACACTGTTAAATAGTAACACAACTGTGCTGCAGCAACACCTTCGAGCCCCAGCAGTGCAGGTTGAGTAGCTTATGAGGAGAATTGATACCAAAGGGTGCCGTGTTCAGTGGAGATCAACTCTCAGGCCAAGCCAATAACCTCTCCTTGGCCACATCACCTGGTACCAGTCACAGATTGAGCTCTGGAAGGATCTGAAGTGTTTTGCAAATGCACCAACCACAACACATTTGTTTATTTGATTTATATTTCATTCCTCCGATACAAAATACATTTCCTGTAACCCTGAACGTCAAGTTAATCCTTTTATTTTCCCATAAGTATATCTTTAAAGCTGCAGTAATCCATGTTTTTACATTAAAGAAGACTAAAAATGACTTAAGTGTAATGTGAAAGTGGTCGCTCATAGTGAGAAATACTCCTTGGTAAATTCCTTCCCTTTTTGCTCTGTGCTCTAATGACAGCCGAACAAGCCTCGGTCGGGACCCTCAGCCAACTTCCTCCTTTCCTGTACTTAGATATGCTACATATGCTATGTTGAAAAGACAACTGAAATTTGAAGATGGTTAAAAGATAAAAGTGAAATATATATAAAGTCGCATCTTAAGTTAGCTAATGTTAGCAGAATGCTAGCTAGCTAGTTAGCTGTCCTGTGAACTACACTGCCCGTGTGTTTGCCTTCTTGTGCGTCTGTACAATACAAATAAAAAAAACGGGGACCCAAACATTGCTCCATGGAACACCTAGTGGCCAAGAACGCCACAGGATACCTTTATGTTCTGGGGGTTTGAGCAAAGTTTGGCTGCAAAGAATGAGCTTGTAATTTCTAACCTACTGGTAGGTGGATTTAAGATGTTAAAGTCATTTCTTTTTACACACTTCTTTGAACTTCTTTGTGTACAGTCATTTGTGCCAAGATATGGTTTGATGTGTTTTCCAGTGTTCTGAATCAGCCCCAAACTTCGTCAAACTATGTTTTTAGCAGTGGCAGAGCAGTCAAATGCACATATGTTGTTGTTAATTAGTGCAGAGTCCCAACTCCAGCTGTGCCGCTGAGAATTCCCGTCTCTCTGAGCACCGACAGAGACACAGTCGCTGACAGATGAAGCACAGCCTGCTCCTGTATGAGAGACACCACCTCTGTCCCTCGCTCTGTGTCTCACTACATCTGCTTCGCATTAGCTTGTTGCCATGCAGGAAAAAACACAATTCTTTTGTAGTCTATTCCAGCCAATCAGGAAGTGAATTGGGGGTAGTTTTCTGTTTCCTGTGTTCCCCAGACAGTACGGACTTGGGCCCAGTAGCCCCGTTCAGTTTCCGAAATCCATGTGTTCCTCCAGGAAACTGAGAAGAGTCAATAATGAGTCTCCCCTCTCTCTCTCTCTCTCTTCTACAAATATGTGGCAGATTTTCAGCTCTGAGTCATCAGCCAGCCGCAGTCTCATGCCAAAGGACAAGACTTTGATAAAAAAACAATGTGATGCAAGGGTTACATAGACATTACCAGGAGAAGAGCTCTGTGGGGATCAGACTGACATCGAGTATGACTGCTGCTAGGTAACAAGACAGTGTAAACTCAGCTGTCGTCACTGTTACAGAAGAAGAAGGACTGAGGAAACTCAAGAGTCCAGGCTGGGAAGTGATGACAACTTAAATGTTCCTCATGAACACCAGTAAACGGTAAATAACAAGACATGGCATATTGATGTAGCTTGTTTCTAGGTGACATGACGTCATTTTGCCGGTGGAAGAATGTAACAAAGTCCTGTCACTCGAGTACTGTACTTAATTACAAATGTCAGTTACTTGTACTTTCCTTACATTTTTAGATTTTATACTTTATACTTCTACTTAACAACATTTATCTGACAACTGTAAATATACTAGTTACTATGCTTGCAAATAACAATTACTTTTATTATCTATTATTCTGCCAATAATTTCTTGATTAATCGATTACTTGAGTTGTTTAGTCAATAAAATGTCAGAAAATGTCCATTCGAGTATCTCTGAGTCAGAGTCAAATAGTTCAGCCAGTAGTCTAAAACCTCTAAAACACAGGAGACTATGAGAAGCTGAAAATAATCATATATGAGAGGCTGAAAACAGCATTTTTGCTTGAGAAATGACTTAAACAACTAGTGTGTAGCATTCAGTAACATCTAGCGGTGAAGCTGCAGATTGCAACTAACTGAACACCGCTCGCATCTGTATTTGACAAATGACAGATACAAACAGCTCATTCTAAGGTAACGAAAACACAACGATTCCTATATTCAGGTGATTATGCACTAATAAAAACATACCTATGACTATTATATTCCATTTCTGCCAATAGCTCCTTACACACTGGACCTTTAAACAATCCACTAATCATTGCAGCTCTACTAAATAAGATTTTAGGTATAAAACCATTTAAAGTAATCTGATTTAACCAAGTACAACAGTAAAATGCTACTTACATGTTACTGCATTAGTCGTGATTCTGTAATATATAATATTATAGTATATAACACTCACAGGGGGCATTTTTCGGCATTCAGTACGTTTACTTTTAAAACTTTAATTACATTTTGGTCATGATACTTCTGTACATTTACTTGCCTAACATTTAAGAGTTAAACTTACACTCGTTGTACTTATTGTATTGCTATTTTTACAAACAGCCCAGCATCTGAGTAAGCAGGATTGTATTTAGGAAAGACATTTGTAATGGCAAGACATTGTCCAGTCATTCAGCGTTCAGTCACGGGAACTCGACGCTGCTGGCTGACTGAACACTCATTCAGAAAATGCAGCAATCTAACAAGGTCTTTCATTACTGTACAACTCTCCCTGGAGTTACAGGTCTGAGCATATTATCTCACAGGGGCTGAGCTATTTAATAAACTCGAGTCAGAGTGGTTCTCTCTCCAGCTGCTTCCCAGGGACACTGCAGCCAATTTTAGCAAGGAGCAGTATATATATATATATATAAGGAGCTTAAAAATACAGCCTAACTTTGTACGTCAGCTCAACTGAAAAAAAAAATGGCCACCAGAGTGTTTTTGTCCAATGCAGGCTGGCATCATCACACAGCACTACAATATGTTGGCGTGTTTGTTGTCATTTTTTTCCCCCTCTGCTCATCCCTTCTGTCGCAGGTTTGGAGTCAAAACAAACCGGACAGCACAGCCAGGATGAATAAGGTGCCAGCTCAAAATGAGAGAAGATGGCCCCAAACTTCCTGTATTGACCCAAGATAACGGTCAGAGCGCACAGGGGAAATGGTTGTTTGAATGTCTTGATGTTAAAAGGGAAAAAGTATGATGCTGTCAGACAGGCGAGACTGCGGCATTTTAGACTTCTTCCCCAAACAAAATTAACATAATGTTTGCTATAATAAAACCAGAAACAATTGGTCGAATAATCACTTAATCAGTCTATTGACAAAACAGCTAATTTGTGCAAATTCTCTGATTCCAGCTATTCAGATATGAAGATTTGCAGTTTTTGTTGGTTTTGTATACATTTAAAATCTGTTTTCGACTGCTGGTTGGACAAGACAGACTATCTGAAGACGTTAGCTCGGGCTCTGGGAAATTGTGATTGGTGTTGTTCACTTCTTTCTGACATTTTGTACATCCAATTAATTCACAGATTAAGAAAAGAATCAATAATGAAAATACTGATTAGCTGAAAACCTGACTTTAATACTGTACATGGCAAAAGTTTTGTAAAAGTTAGCTCATGGTGACTTTGTTTTTCTCTCTTATTTTGAATATTACTTTCATTATTTTATGTAATAATAATAATACGTTAGGCTCACTTTCCATTATTTATTTACCACAGTTTTACTCAAGATCAGGGAAATCCACTTCTTGTACAGGCATGCCAATTTCTGAATTGCATAAAAACACTCTTCCTCTCCACTAAATCCTCCATTACGAACTGTACTCATGGCTCCATTCACAAGATATGCATGCACCACATGTCTCCTACAAACCGAGGGTACCCACTGGAGACCAGCTACATATCTAAATATAGAAATCTGGGCTAACAATCAATAGCTAGACAGTTAAGCATGAAGCTGTTTGGAGGGGGGCAGAGAGAGAAGAGGGGGGGGGTCGCAATAACATGAATGGGTGGTCGCAGCTAAGGTGTAATAAATATCTATTTGATCTGAATTGTCCAGAAAAAGCATCTGGATGTATGCAGTTGTGCAGCCTTTATGTCGCACAGCCTGTTCGGATCACTTCATATGTAGACCTCTTAACACTGGTTTCTTATGCCAGCTGCCAAATTCCCATAATTTCCCACAAGTCTTTGAATCTCTCCACGTTTCCACTCTTTTACATTTTCAGTTTTACAATTTGTGGTTTACAGTCTGTGCGCTGAGAGGAAAGCGTGTGATTTGAATTACAATAACAGCAGGAACAAGACAGATCTGTGCCCCCCCTTTCCAGTCTCCAGCCCGCACCGCCTGCCTTGCCTGCCTGGCCCGTTAATATGGAGCCATCCATTGAGGCGCTCAGACTGGGGGTAGGGATTTTTTCTTCTTACCTATTTTTATTTTAACGCTCTGGAAAACCCGGAGACCTTCCTCTTCTACCGCCATGCTTTCCCCGTGGCTCTTTCCCTTTTGACGACTAGATAAAGACAGTCCTCCACGGTGGTCGGTTCTGGCCTCTCCAGCGCACGGATATTCCAGGGGTTTTGCACATCTATGCTCTCCGGACAGCGATCATACTCCGGTCCGACCACTGCTGCTGCTGACTGGTTGAGAACAAGCGAGCAGATACAGCTTCAGTCCCGCAGCAGCAGCAGCAGCAGCGGCGGCGCCAGTGGAGGTGTGGCTCCATACAACACCGCCCACACAGGGGTATGGAGGGTGATCTGTGCCACAAAGAGAAAGAGGAAGTAGTTTCCAAGTCCGAGACACTCTTCTTGACAAATAATAATGATAAAAATAATAATAATAGTAATATGCATAACAACAATTACTGAGCAACTTCCCAATAAGTAAGTAAACATCATTTGCAATAATGCATGATTCTCCAGGTCCAGTGTGTGACATTTAGAAGGATCTATTGGCAGAGATAATACTGATAACTATGTTTTCATTAGAGCATAATCACCAGAATGTATCAATCACTGGGTTTTTGTTACCTTAGAATGAGCCATTTCTTATCTACAGACACTGCAGGTCGCCTTCTGTGGAGGCAACCATGTTGATGTTGTTGTTGTTTCTATGGTAGCCCAGATCAGAGATACCACCACACTCGCTGATGATTCGAGCATTCAGTTATTTCTCTGTATTTTATATTTATTTTTAACTTTTTTGTGTTGTGTTGTATGGCTGTCTGGAATAGGGGGATATTGTGTGTTGTGTTGTTCTCTGTTTGAACACAATAAAAAGATAGGTTAGGTTGTGATGATGTAGGCTATAACAGGCTCAAGATCTCTGCATTGGTCATATCTCTTAAAATGACTGAGGTCTTACGGTACCAACATGGTCCAAGTTGCAAGTACACGAATGCAAATGACGCCTACTCAGCCGGCACAAAGCAACCCTGCTCAACATACTCAGTGGAGTAAACATCAGTCCTCAAGGGGGTCATATAGAGCTAATTAGAGCGATTTCAGGACCACAGTAAACAAACATGGTGGTTAACACTCATGATAAGATTTTATGTTGACATACTCCAGAAGGACACATGAATTTGTTCTTGTGTAGCTCGTATGCACTGATGCACTTGTGTAGACCATGTAAGCACTTCAGGAACATTACAGAAAAAAAAACAAAGGGCCACAATAGCCAATTGCACAAGTCTGAGTGTGGACATGTGGATTCAGCCTCTGTTCCACTAGTTTTTTATTCATACCATCTTTGGAGGTCAAAATAAATGCCCCCTGTACATAGTCCTGCATTCCCCAGTTTAATTTGAATGAATCAATAACAACATTAGGAAAACTAGAAACAAAACAAGCTGTTATCTATAATATGAAAGGGATATTCACACGTTTCTCATGAGTACTGGATGTGCAAATAAAAAATACTAAATGACTCAAACTACCGATACGAACAGTGAACTTGAAAGCAAGGTAGGCGTTGTCATAGTTCCGATTTACCTGATGTATTTTCTTTGCCTCTCTGTCAAAACTCAGTATGTACAGTTATGAGTTATGTTGTCTTTGATTTATAATAAAAAATTAATCTCACCACTTAATAGTAAAATAAATAGTCCCACAAGCAACTTCACATTTCCTAACTTTGGCAGCAGCTAAAAAAAAACATCAAATGACCATGTGCCAAGTCCCATCCACTGCCAAACAACAGTGGCCAACAACAGACCTGTCCAGAGTCTTCATGTTGAAATATTTGACTACCAAATACCCTTAAAAATAGCATGATTATTGTTGCAGATGACCCTATTTCCCCTCTTCGTCCTTCTTATTGGCATTAATCCCCATTAATACAGGACTACAACATCACAAAGATGGCTAGACTCTGAATTGACCAGAACTAGTTCATAATGTTAAATGATTTAAAACATATAATTGTAGCTGTTGGCAAAGCTAGCTCACCGTGCTCCTATACATCAGCATTTTATTTGCACTCTCCCTCTCTGAGAATTGGCAATGCATCATCTGTGGCAGTTCACTGAGTGGTATTCCCCCTTCATGGGCCCCACATGCAGCAGTATGGGCCTGACTCTATTGGATCTCCACAGATTGCTTCCTACATGAAATGAACTGCAGATGCAAACAGCAACAGAACAATTTTATACTGTTGTTGTTGTGGAGCAAATGATCTCCTGCTATTCCCATGACCTGAGCTTTGCAGGGTGTAAACAACCATAGATTTGCCTTACTCCATTGTGTAGAATAATTCGCTTTAAAACCTGAAATGTGTCTGAAATCTTTCAAAGGGAAAGTCAACAAACATCAGCTTTGGTCTAGAGTCTAAACTGAATCACCAGCAAACTCTTATCAAACTGTCTTGGTGACAGACAGGCAGAGCAAACGATAACCTGGAAACAACAAACAACCTGGGAAGAATAGGAGGTCCCTGTTTTCCTGTTGGCTCTGATCTCAGGCCAGATTTAACAGATGGAAGAATAGACAAGGTGCTGTCCTTCCCAGTGGGAGGGATGTCTGGACAGGATTTAAGATCCATTCAGGTGAAAGGCGCATCATCAGCCCACACTTGAGCCTATTGGGCCACTCCTCTGAGATCACTATGACCACATTCCTCAAAATAGCCTGACTCTGGTCTGGAACACTCTACAAACCCAGCTGGCCGAGCCCAACCCAGCAGAGATGTGGGACTAAAGAACAGTCGGACAGCCTCTCGACCAGGAACGACAGTCAGCTGCAGTGCTCCTGCTGCTGGCCAAAGTGTTGGGATTAGCTGTGACTCCTTTAGAACAGCTCTAAATCTAATTAGGTTATATGTCTCATCGCTATACCGTTAGCCCATTAGACCCTCCTCAAGGAGAGACCTTACAGTCTCCACGCAGCAACAATTGCAATCTGCAATATAGTATAACATTCACAGGGGCCCTTTTCCTGCAGAACGGGTACTTTTACTAACCCTAACCCTAAATTTGGTATTCGAATGCAATACTTTACAACATTAAAGTGAAGATTACACATTGATGCATCAATATAGTCCAATAACATTATATGTCATCCTGAAATTGGCCATTCTGTATAATGAGCACTTTTACTTTTGGTGCTTTAGGTGTATTTTGATGATATTTTAAATTGGTCAAATTTTAACACATTAATTACACTTGTACTGAGGAGTTTTTCCACCACTGGCTGAATGTGCATGTCGTGCCTGTGTATGCATATCAGTGACACAGTTAACCAAACGGCGCCTTTGACTACACATCCGCTAAAACTCTGTTTCATAGCCATGGTATTGTTGATAGATAACCTCTGAAGAAAAGTTTATTTGAAAGAAAAGTGTATGCTAGCCACATCCTGCCAGCTGCATGTACAGCTAGCAGCATGATGGGAGGGCAGTTTCGACTTCAGCCATTTAAAGTTGATTTAGCAAAGCCAGTAAATGGAGAACTCTCCTACTCTCTAACTATAACTGTGCATGCACAGATGTAACACCAGTCAAATCACCATAATATAAGACTAAAATGTAAGAGTCACGGGTTGCCACTATCATGACATACCAACCAAAGTAGAGTCTTATCTGCAGGCAGAAATGGGAGGAGAATGCAGGTTCTTTTGTAGCTGTATTCACATAGGGAAATAATGCTTTAAAGACGTTTATGACAGACATTTATTTCAGTTTAACTAAACTGGCTACGCCCTGTGGTAAACCACAAGCCTGGGTGTGTAGCTGTATGTGTGTGTGTTACTAGTATAAAACAGAGAAGCCCCTCGTACTTTGGAGGTCTAACTTATCTCGAGCAAAAAAAAGAAGTGAACAAGGATATTAAAATATGTCCAAGTATAAGCATGACTTTAAACAGTCTCTGCATATGTTTGTATGTGTGACAATGCAGAGCCATTGACAGAAAGAGGAAAGGAAGGCAAACACTGATTAGATTTGTGAAAGGATGCTCACTGTTGTTTTATTTCACATGGACCAGCAACTAGTGCAGGGCGTTCGAGGGCGTTGGCACACCTAAAATATCACAACTAACCCTCCCTACTGTGGCTTGTGTTGGTTTTTTTTTACAAGCACACGTACAATGTACATATGAGTATGAATGTGTGAGAGAGACAGAGAGTACTGAGTTGAACAGATGGGCAGTGACATGTACAAAGTTAATCCTGGTATTATGGAAAAAACAAATCATATCTCTATGAATAGAGCATGAATCAAATCTTTGAAGAATGCGTGTAATTTGGTGTGTGGAAAACAAAACACCAGCACAAATTTAATGTAACTTCTCTGGGTGCATAGTTATCTTTTATCCAACTCACACAAGCAGAATGTCCATGATGATCAGATTTGTTATTTGATTATTTCCACCCTCCTCCATTCTCAACAGTGCAACTGTGGATAAAAAAACCATAAGCAGAAAAAGAAACTAAACCATGCTGTAGGCTTGAAGTGGGGTTATGGAAAAACTAATGAGCAGCACATGCAACTATGCTGATAGTCCTTTCTCCATCCTTTCAATTAAACCAGTGAGCCAAACGTTTATCCAGATTCCAGACACAACCTTTTGTTCATCTGTCTCAGTCTCTGATTGTAAACAGAACAAACTGACTATTTCTGACCTTTTAATTTTAAGATTTAGTTTAAATCTGGAGTCAGAGGTGATCTGTAGTTTAGATAATAATAGAAAGAAGAAAGCAAGTACTGCACTAAGCAGAGCTGACCTGAGACAGAGGTCAATTACTTGAGGCCATCAGGTTAAGCACCAAACCAGCAAATTACAGGTCATCCTGACAGTAAGAAAGCATCATTGTTTATGTTTGGTTGCTTTAAAATCCACATAGTTTGAAAGGTTTTATAAGCCAAAGAAGTTCAGAATTGACTCATTATTGTGTGAAATAATTCAAAAAACAGATATTTTGGCATACAAAATTCTACTCAATGGAATCAAACAGATACAGTGTAACTATAAATAATACTCTGATCAGGAGAAGGAGGATGCTGTCCAGGCTTCAGTCCATCTTGGACAATGTCTCACACCCTCTCTACGACACACTGGCCCAGCAGAGGAGCTCCTTCAGCAGAAGACTCCTCTCACCCAGATGCACCTTTTGGTGCCGTATTGCAGTTAACATAAAGTGTCCGTGTTTGGAGGTCAAAATTACAGAG